AAATGAAACACATCAAACAGCCACAGGGCCAAGAATTACAGTGACAACTGTTCAGTTGTTTCCTGTGGTTCCAAAGTGTATATAACCCACCAGGAAAACGTGTGCCCAAATGAGACATCTCCACATGTCAAAGTTTCCAAGCAGCATCACTTCGGAAGAGTTTGTTTATGTCGAGAATTTATTTAGCTCCAGGTGAGTGAGTTTGTTATCACCAGAAGAACAGTTGGAAGCAAACAGTCCTAGAAGTGGCCCAATAAAAAGCGTGCGCTGGTGAATTTTTCTGGCCCTTGGCCCGGCTGTTCTGCCTGTATCATACGTGATCAAGGGTCTCAACGGACCGTGCCCCAAGTCCCTCACTTCTGCCTTAAAACAGGAAAACCATGTATGTTGGATACTGAGGCCAACAAAAGCAAGTTCAGAGGTTGCTTTTTTTGCCTCAGTATCCCAAAAAAGGTCAGGTAACTTACTTTACTCCAGCACCAGTCATAGAAATAATACATACTTTGAAAACATTTGTCTTTTCATAAATGCTGTGTTCACTTGCACCACATGCTTAGTGAATGTGTCTGAAATGCAGGAGGCTGCTGGGATCCTTTGTTTAAGGACTGAGCTCCGTTGCTGAGATGAGGTCACTGAGTAAATTGGTCCCTAAATGAGGAAGTGTATGTAGTGTGCACATTCCAATATTCAGAGCAAAAACGGTCAAAGGAAAGTCCAACTTGGTGACTTTGCTTTTATTTGCCTAACTCTTACATGTGTGTAACAGAGCATAAAACCACAGTACTGTGCTATGCAGCACAATCAGCAGAAGGTACAGTACTGTATAAACAAGGTGGACTGCAAAAAAGAGAGACACTGAGCCTCTATAAACAAGATGCACAGAACTGCACAAAAAAAAAAAGATGGGTCATAAGTCCGAGTGCCATGTCGTAAGTCTGAGCAGCAGGTCTCCATCTTAAGTCTGAACCGTCGTTAACCGGGTAGGTCGTTAAATGAGGAATATCTGTAATTTGAAGATTCAAATACTCAAAGCCAGACAAACAGTTGGCAGTGTCTGGGAGTTTCGTTTTCTCTTGCCTCCCCGCGCCTCCCCCCAGATTTCCTGAGTTTCTAATAAGCAGTAAGGCTTATCTTCTCTCTAGAGCATTAGAAGACCTGGCTGATTGTCCTTAGTAGCTTTCTATGCCTGATTCACTACAAGCGATCTCTAGCGATGGACACTACTGTTTGAGTTGGGCTTGGCTCAAGCACCTGCCTTCAAATTTGCCTGCACTTATGATTGGTTTCTTTTGCCCACATGTAGTGTATATTGATTTAATCATTATTAATACAATACAAGGCTGCAAACCTGTTAAAGTATGCGAAGAGAACGAGCATTGTGTTTCTGTTTACTTGGTTTGAACCCATTGTTATGCCTTTTATTTAACTGTAGTTGCCAATTAACAAAGTAGGAGTTGAAGTAATGTTTCAGATATTTTTGGAGTCTCATTAAAAATCTTGTTACATGTGAGAATTAAACAGAACCAGAGTGAAGGCCTTAGAATAGAGAAGTTTGAAGTAATCAAATTTTATACCAAAAAATGAGGAGAGATTTCCATGTCTCTGTACTTTTTTTTGTTCATTTGCTTTTCTCCGGTACTGGGAATCAAACTCATGACCTTGTGCTTGCCAGGCAGGTGCTGTGCTGCTGAGCTAAATCCCCAGCCCTCACCTCTGTACCCTAAGTATGTTTTTAGTTTGCCTGTTGAGGTAGTCTGCACTGGTGTTATTTATAACCAGGTATGGAAAGCTACTTAATACTCACTAAGATACAAAATCGGTGATTTAAAGATGACAAGTGTTTCTTAAATTTTAAAATATGAGAGCATGAGGAGTATATGGGAAGGATAAAATTTATTTTACAGATAACGGAGGTGCAGTTTTTTCTGAAAGCCAAGAACTGTCCCATCCACGCAGGAGATTCATATTCCAAGACAATCTGAGTACATCTGTCCTATGTTTAGATTCCTCCGTGATCTACTTTTGGTTCTTCTAATCAGTGTTCCTTAATTTACCCCTTAATTCACCTGGGGGATGGCATTTAAAACAAAAACTAACTTATGGTTCATGTAGCTCTTGCATTTTGGCGAGTTCTAAGATACTTCTGAAAGTTTTTTCAAAGGAGGAACAGCCCTGAAATTTTCCCTAGAAAAATGGCAGTGAAATAGGACAATATAATGAATGCCTGGACTGCTTTCAGCAAACCACCTTCCCTGCATGGGAAATCCTCTATTTACCTAAGGTTTAAAAGAAGGTAAAGCTATTTTAGAGGCAATTTAGATAAGCAGATACTTAACACCTGCTGGGCTGCTGGGGGTTACCATTCAGATGGAAATTTTGGTTGCTAATTTCTTATGTAAATTATTGCAATAGTGTAGGTTCCTACCCTGCTGGGCGGCAGTTGATTATCTAAAGAGGTGAAGGGCAACCAAATTGCAGGCCTCCAAATACGGCTTTGATTACTTTAGCTTGTGTTTACAGCTGTTTCAGTAAACTTTCCCCTCCCCCTTTTTATTTACCTTGTATCCTTCAAGTTAGAGATAACTGGAGAATGCAGATCCGTTTCTGTGAAGTGAAAACTTTGGCTGTTTTCTTAAGAAAATGCAGATGAAGCTTCTAAAGAAGGGCCCTCTCCCATTATCCCCCCTTTTTATATTAAAATCATGTGCTCTGCAAGAGCGCTGGCAGCATTTCAGTATTATTGCCAGAAAATGAAATTTTTGTTTATCAGATGAATTATTTGAATACCTGCACAGAGAACTCACCTTCCTTGTGTGCAGTAAACAGACTTAGGTCCTTCCTTAGGGTACTCTGCTCCTGCTCTTTAGCTGACTTCTGTCCTGCAGAGGATCACCAAGATTTCTTTTTACTTAGAGATTTACTTGAGATTTAATATCTCATTTTTATTAGACTGTTAATCTAAACTACTTCTAGTTGTAAGAATATAGGACTACCTGCCACACTGGATGTTAAGAGTCCTATAGGTCTTAAAATATAATCACATTTCACGGATTCTGTAACTATCTGGTCTTCTTTAAAGACA